AGGAAAAGGATAACTAAATTCTTGATGCCCTTTGTGTTGTCACAGCTGTTTTGGAGGAGCGTCAAAAACATTGTTTTAAAATGCTCATTCATTTTTTTTAATCTTCACTTATTACAGAACCTATCGAAGAAACTGCGGGGCCACTTTATCAAGCTTAAACCACTCAGTAAGTATCACATGACTCTCTCGCTGTGTGGTGCAGCCAATCATAAGAAAGGTAGAAAGAGGCACAAGTGTTATTTCAGACGGCGTACACAAAGAACTGCGACTCCTTCAATGCTAATGTGAAAAATAAAAATCACAGAGTGGGAAACCATAATAATGGGTCCACTTTTGAAAATGTGACTGTAAAGCGAGGTGGACTAAACTGCTGTCACTGCCCCCACAGCCTCATCGTCCTCTGAAAACTGATGTAACAGAACCAAGGAGCCACTGGTTACTAGCCGGGAGGAGGAAACCTCTGAACGACGAACCGTGTACTCTGACTGCAGGGTATACCTCGACCAGAAATGGACCCTTTTTATTTTTTATTTATTTATTAGACTGGTTGGTGAAGAGATAAGCTCAGTTCTCATGCTTGGTGTAGGTCCAGTGGTTAAGACGGGACTTGCCATGAGCAAATCTCACACCTCTGTAGGTATATTAACAGCATTATACTAGTGGTATCATCTTTTAGAACTTGTGTGCCTTCATATTCCACTCCGTTGAGATTTTGATCTGGATCATTGGGGGGGTTAGGTAGGTTTGACTGAGAATTAACCGTAAAACTAGAGTCTGTACGCCTGCATTGCGTTGTGCTGTTTTCAGCAGGACTCCAGTGAATGTAACACAGCTACATCTGCCAGCTGGGCCACAGTTTGATCCCCCCTGCTGTTCAGCGGGGTAACACAGGGCCTCTCTGCTGGTCATTTACCACAACAGCCTCTGAAAGATAGATCACATGTGAGTAACACATACTGTTTGGCACATTAAGGCCATATGAATGTAGCTACCTTTTTAAAAATCTTTTTAGGTGAATTGTACTCCAACCTTTGTTCCTGCCAGTACCTGCTCTTGTAGTTGCCTGACGCAGTGAGAACGCTGTTGAGTAAAGGAGCAAACTGTACTCATGCACTGTTACTGGGTCTCCTGAGACCAACACAGACCATTTATTGCAGGTCTCTAAAATATTGTCTTGTCTGGTTTTTTTCCTTTTATTTCATTTAGAGTTTAGATGTCATTTTAGCCTAAAACAAACCCTGAATTCACATGACTGTTGCAGCAGCGCTTTGTAACCCAGGATGCTTGAAACACTAGACGTACAGCCCCAAACTGCTAACATGTGAGAATGTTGTGAGGAATGTACTGCAGAGAGGAAAACTAACTACACCTACAGTGTTTTAAACAGAGCTTCAGCAATCACAGCGCTTTTCAGATCTGCAGCAAGGCAAAAAAGAAAAAAGAAAGGATGGTTGCAACTGCAGTGGTCTGTAATTTTGTTGCCGCTGAAGCCAACACGAACCACAGCGGACAGGGTTGTTGTCTTCAGCTTTTTTTTTTTAAAGTTTTTTTTCCTTGCGATAATTCGACACCGACAATGTTTCAGGTCACAGATCTGTCTGCTTGTGGGTGAACCCTCTGGCAACAAAATTGGGGAACCATTTATATTGTCTGTTTTATTGTTTATTTCTTTTCTTATTTTTTAAAAGAGGTCTATATTATTTATTTTAGTATGTTGAGCTGTTGTAATGCAACAAATGTGACAGACAAGCACAGTTTTAAAGAGACACCAGTGAAGATCTTTTCAAAACGTCCACCAGGCCAGCTATTACTGAACAATATCTTAACATTTTCTACTTGTTTCTCTTGCCTTCTAGTTCTTCTTGTATATAATGTAAATGCACTGGCTTTTACTTAATGCGATCTTTATAAACTGCTTTTTGTGTAGCAAATGTATTTTCACAATAAAACTGACAATTTCCATCACTGCTGCAAGTGTTTTTCTTTGAATTCAATTCAACTTTATTTATATAGCGCCAAATCACAACAATGGCCGCCTCAAGGAGCTTTATATCTCATGAACCCCTGTGAGCAAGCACTTTGGCAACAGTGGGGAGGAAAAACTCCCTTTTAACAGGAAGAAACCTGGCAGAACCAGGCTCAGGGAGGGGCGGCCATCGGAAAAATACTTCAACCTTCAGCAGTGTAAAAACTTGGACAACAAACACATTTTCCCCCAAGTCTTTTAATTTATTTCATCTAAATTTAAATAATTTTCTCATTTTTTTCTAAACTAAGTTCTAACAAAGAAGTAAAAATCTACGCTTTAGAGTGACAAAATAGTTATATAAATATTAATTAAATACTAGGCAGATATATATTTTAACACTGAAATCCAATAAATGAGAACATGTGGTATATGTATTTTTATTACACAATAGCTAATCTAGCAGTTTTCTTCTGTTGAAGAAAATGCAAAAAAACAAAAAACCATTAAATAAATTTACAGAGATCCAATCATCATCTTCGTTCTAATATATACAGCGCACTGAAATTAAACACGAACCACAACAGCAGACTGTGATAGTGATCAATGACAGATCAGTGCGAAAGGTTAAGTGCCAAATGAGGTGAGACCGAGAATGCGGTGCAAAAACAAGTCAGTTTAACTCAAGTGTGCATGTATCGTTTGACATCTTACAGGCTACTGTGGCATACAAAAAAATAAAAAATAAAATCTGACAGTGAGGTCAGTTAAATTATTACGATTGTTACACAATGACTTTAAAAAATGTAACAACATGGCACAAGGCAAGCTGTGATATTAGAATCAGTATACTGAATCCGATCCCGCTCGACTCCATACAATGGTTAAGACAAATGAGACGCACTCGACTCGTGCACTGAAACAATACTTTCAGCATATTGCTTAAAACGTTACGACCCGCACACTAGCTGAGGTGATTCATCAAGCAGCCGACTTGTCGCTTGTCAACACGGCCCTCCTTAGGCTACAAGTGTCGTCTACACATGTGCAAATAGAAATCTGAAAACCACAAACTGCAAACAGACGACCGCGGTGAGGAGGAAACTGTCTGCACAAACTAAAAGCCCTAAGTCTGATGCTTCATCCGTGCGATTACAGTGTATTCTCTACTGATAAGCTGTATGAGGCATTTAAGTAGCAGTCTGTCAGGAAGGCAGGGCATTCGAGGTATTTCATGCTTTTATGACCAGTGCCAAACAAAAAAGAAAAAAAAAAAAACGTTAGAAAAACAATTCCTGCGTGTCTACTTTTGATAGACGCCTAAAGTGTAAGAAAAAAACAAAACAAAACAACAAAAATAAAACAGGCACATTACACAACTTGACCAAAAATAATAAAAAAAATAAAATAATTGCACATCTTGCAACAATAACAGGTTTATGAACAGTAAATATGAAACCGGTTTTCACTATAAATAAAGCTCTGGTAAGTTTGTATTTTAATAATTGTGCTTAGTAGAAATGAGGCATTATGGCCGCGGACAGACAGGCGAAAAAAAGGAAAAATAAAATATCCCTGCAGCAGAGGGATCCAGTCTCATTCATATAAAGTGGTGGGCAATGTTTCTGGTATGTTTAGGTCTTCTTGTTCCTTTAGAGGTGACGCGTTATACTGCCCCAAGAGGGGTGGGTGGGTGGGTGGGGGGGGTCACTGAATGGTTTGATGAGGATAAAAATGATGGTGTCAGGACTCTCACTTTAGGGCCTTGAGCAATCATGTTGGTTTCTCCTTTAATTTGTTGCCTGTTTCCATAAGCATGGGTGCAATGCTAGTGTTGACTGTTTTAATGAAAGTGTAACTAGAACTGAGGAGATCCAGGTCCAAAGATACATTAAACAAATTTACAATTAAATTAAATTTACCATTAGAAAAAGAAAAAAACATTTACAGTATAACGCTCAGAGAGAAATGAGGTTTGTTAACATCAAACTGCTACAATCAATGTACGTTTTAGGCACTGGCACTGAAATGTGACTGATGCTTTTCAAAGATGAAAGAAAAAAAAAACAAAACACAACCCAAAAACAACTATGCTCAGTTTGAGAACAGATTTTCTAGAATGTATTACACATCAGGTACGTTCCTTTTAAAGGTTAACCCTGAGTGCTAACAATAACACACCATCCTTGGCTCGCTCGGTCCTGCCTATTCTGAAAATTAATGAGTAACCAATCGACTGATGAGAAATCCCTCAAAGGCTACATGAGTTTTAGAAGACAGCTTTTACAACATTCAGAAAGTTTTTCCTAATAAAATATGCGAATAAAAATAAGAATAAATTAATAAATACATCCATTTTAGCATACGATGTCACTCGACGTGAATGTGAATATTGAATATTATTAGCAGTACGACTATTTATTTCGTAATATGGTTTCAGTTAATCACTTTGACCTTTCAACACACCCAGAGGTATTTGACTTAAAATTAACCGGCCTGCCTGATATGAGGAAGGCGAGCAGTCCCTCAACACTGATGGCAGAGCTAACAAAAAGATTCAGAGTTATATACAGTTTGTATATTTAGTTTCCTAGGGAACTCACAGAGGCACTGAACACAATTATACATAGCGAGAGTTATAACAGTACTGTTGTACAAAAATGTGTCATCGGCTTTATGTTCTTACATGAACCTTCTCTGTTCACTTTGGTTGGCTGGTTCATCATTGAGGAATGAGTGAATACTAATCTTTTCATCACCTGCCCGGTTTTAAGGGATCCAGTGTATCCATGGGAAACATTCAGGCCTTATTAAAAGCTGACTAACAATCCCTCTGGAGATGTCCCATTGATGTCACCATCTGTTTTTTTTTTTTTTTTTTGGAGGTAAGACTGGAAGTCAGTGATGAAAAGTGTGTATCTTCAAAGGAGCATCTGTTAGAACCAAGGAGCACTTTCTGAAAAAAAATAAATACTGTTTTACAATTACTGATCGAGGGATAAATAACACAAGCATATGAGGACCATATGTCCTCTTCTTTTATATGCCATTTAGTACTTCTTTAAAGAAAAGACCCCATGTCAAGGTCCATAAATGCATTAGCGTCCATGTTAAATGAGGAGTCGAAGGTCTGGGTGTTCTGGTGCATCTTCTGATGGTGCCGCAGGTTGGACTTGCTGGAAAAGCTCTTGTCGCACAGCAGGCAGGCAAAAGGCTTCTCTTTGGTGTGTATCCTTCGGTGACATATGAGCTGAGTGGACACCCGGAACGCCTTCCCACACTCCAGGCACTGGTAGCGCTTGGGCTCTGTGTGAATCCGTCGGTGGTTCTTCAGGGCCATCAGGTTGGTGAACTCCTTCTGGCACACTGAGCAGAAGAAGGAGCCCGTCTTGTGGCTGTTCTTGTGGTTGAGGAGGGAGCCGGCATGACGGTAAGTACGCCCACAGTGCTCGCAGACGTGGCTCTTCTCCTCTGTCGCAGAAGTGTTGTTGTTCTTCTCTGAATTAGGAATGCTTCCTGGAATATGGGACAAAGGTGGTGGAACTTCACTGTGCATCCCTCCCATTCCCATGGACTGACTGACTCCTGAGTCCCAGCAGAGGTTGTTATCTATAGCGTCATCCTGGTCTTGTTGGTAGTGGTCCTGAGCCACGTGGTGCATGTTATGGTGCTCCTGATAGCTGGCTGCGTCGGGAAAGCTCTGCTGGCACAAGCTGCAGACCACAACCTGGTCCTTTGAGTGCACCTCCATGTGGCTCTGTAGGTGGGTGACCAGACAGAAGGTCTTGCCACACTCGGGGCAGCATTGACGCCTCATCTGGGAGTGTATCTGCAGAGTGACGGGATCGGGAAATGTTTGGAGACACAAGGTGCAGTGGTGGAGGCTTTCGGAGTGTGTCTTTTTATGATTGAGAAGGGATCCCGCATGGCGATAGGAGCGCCCACACAAGTCACACCTGTGGCAAGAAATAAATAAAATTAACAAACAACAACAGGACACTGCAACTCAAAATATGTTAACCAACAGTGAATGATTTATAAAACTATTTGTGACATTACAGTTAATGTTCGGTACATTGCAGAATCAAACTAGAATTACTGTCTCATAACCTCATACCCTTATTAACCAGACAAGTTATAGCCGAAGCCCACAGGCAGCAGTTTTTGTATTTTTCACACAAATCCTATGAAGCAAAGTGTTGCAAAAAAGCTCTCAGTGCTCAGCTTTCCCCCCCTCTCCTACTGGTCTCACCGTACTTTCAGTCCAAAACTTGTCGAACATCACATAAATCAACTTTAACCTTGATGCACACTCAATCATCCAGGTAAGGAAATCCCCAAAAGTTGATTCTGTTCATTTGGACGTAGCATTTTCAGTGTGAGAAATCTTTAGTCAGTCATCAAAGTGGCTTCTTCAGTCTCAGCTGACTGCAGGTTTCCCCAACCTTTTTAAACAAGACATTTGCATAATGACTGAAATCACCCCCACAGATACAGCGGCCAGGGAAGCAGAAGAACATCATATCAAGAAGGCCCTGAGTAAATGTGGTAAGCCACCTAAAGTATTCTCCAAGGCGATCCAGGAGAGATCAGCTGCTGCCTAAACAAACACCCTTAGTGATCCCTTATGTGTCAGGAGTATCTGAACAGCTTAGATGCATTTTCTCAAAACACCGCGTCTCTGTGGCTTTTAAACCCCAAAACGCGCTGCGCCAAAAACTGGTCCATCTCAAGGATCGGGTCCCCTGACACACACAGAATAATGTAGTGCATGCTGTTAAGTGTCAGGAGGGTTGCTGTGATCCATTCCTCATCAGGGAAACCAAACAACCTCTGACCTTGGATGGCACATCACAGAAGAGCTAACTCATCAGGCAAGCACTCTGCCATCTATTAACACCTATAGGCCAGTAGCCACTCTTTCAATGATGGGGATGTACACATCCTGGACAGGGAGGAACTCTGGTTTGAGCAAGGAGTCAAGGAGGCCATTTATGTGAAAAAGGAAAGACCATCTCTAAATCGAGGAGGCATAAGGGTACATCTTTCACCATTTCGCAACGCTGTGATTGCAGCCATTCCCCAACTCTGTGAATGATACTCACAGCCATAGGTCAAAGAGTGTTTGAGAGGAGTGTTGTGACAATAAGGTCACTGATGCTTTCAAAAAACAAACAAACAAACAAACCAAAAAAAAGAGATTGTCCATTGACCTTTTGGATATGAACATTTATCATTTTAAACATTTTTGTATATTTCTGATCATAATTATTGAAAGAATTCTCTTTCAATGACATCTGACCTCCAAATTATTACCACTTCATCCTCACATTCAAACTCAAATGATATCAGGTTAACAAGAATGGGATAGAAGGTTTTACAATTAGATTTATGCACAACTTTAAAACAAAATGCTTTAAACCATGGCTGCTGTTAGCACTCATACTTAAAAACGAAGCTGTCAGTACTCTCTAGCAAAATTTGTTGCAGTGATATTGTTTCTTATGCAAACACAAGTTGCCTAATATGCATGAAAAAAATCCCAGCTTTGTCTGCGTCAGTTTAGCAGGGGATAACGTATCAGTCTGGCCAAAGTCAGGCTTTATCAAAATGACACACACACACAAAAAAATAATCAACAAGTGAAAGAATTAGAAAACCACTCCAATAATAATTAATAGAAAAGACTTACATGAAACACTTGTCTCCTCTCTCTGACTGCTGGACTCCAGATCCTGCGTTCTCCTGACCTCTGCGGCAGCGATGCCTCTTCAAGCCAGACCTGCCCTGGAAGCTTTTCCCACATGAAGAGCAGCTAAAGTGATTCACCGCCCGATTGTGGACCCTCTGGTGATTGTGCAGAATGCTGGCGAGACGGAAGGCCTTTCCACATGTCAGACACACGTATTTCTTCTTTTGCGTGTGGATGCGTGTGTGATTGCGCAAAGCCATGGGGTTAGTGAAGGGCTTAGAACAGAAGTTGCAACAGTAGTGCCCCGTCTTGTGGGTATTTTTGTGATTCAACAGTGAGCCTGCATGGCGATAGCTGCGATTACATATGTTGCACCTGAAAGGTCGCTCCTCTTTATTTGGAAACGTATTTAAATCTGCTTCCCTGCTACCCGAAGGTTGATCACAGGTGTGGGCTGCCAGCTGGTCTGCAGAGAAAAAGGCCTGTTTACATTCCTTACACTTAAAGGCTTTAGATTTTAGACCCCTTCTGACTCCAGACCTATCTTTTCTGAGGTCTCCACAGACATGAGCTAAAAGCTGCTTCCTTCCTCTAAAGCCCTTTCCACAGTTTTGGCAAGAGTGCCTTTTATATGCAAAGTGGGTGCGTAAGTGGTTCTTCATTGCTAGCTGGTTGGTGTAAGTGTTGTTGCAAACTGAGCAGGAATATTGACCCGTTTTATGAGAGTTTCTATGGTTAACCAAACTTCCTGCATGGCGATACGTGCGACCACACTGGTCACAGGCAAAAGGTCGTCGGTCACCTGCATCCTCCGATTTCACTGACATCTCCGACTTTGTCTGCGTTTCTCTTTCTTCAGTTGGCTCCTTGCAGCGCAGAGCAGAATTACAATCCTGATTGGCATCTGAAGCTAAGGGCTGCATTCCTCCATCTGACCTGGTCCCATTCATCTGCATAAGGGCCTGGATCTGGCTATTGAGTTCCTGGATTTTGGCTTGGTTCTCTTTGTGCCTTCTCAGGTGATTCAGTAGCTGCTTCTGAATTTTGAAAGCTTTCCCACACTCGTGACACGTATGCCTAAGGAAGGAGACAAGGGTTATAGTTAATTCTATGTTTGAAAAACTGGGCACAATCTCCACAACAAGTAAAGCCACAATGACAGAACACTTTAACTCTGTGACAGACAAAAACACAAATCCGACCCTATAAGCAAAGCTTTGTTTTTAATCCCTTCTTTCCAACAAGCACAGATCATCTATAAAATTAATTAATAGTATTAATAGTGTGCATTCATGCCAAACTAACCTCTTAATATCAAAATGGGATCTCTGATGATTTTTAAGGGCCAGCAGGTTGTAGAAGCGTTTCTGGCAGACGAGACATCTGAAGACACCCGTTTTGTGTGACTTTTTGTGGTTGAGGAGGGAGCCAGCGTGCCTGTATGACCGGCCACACTGATCACACTTGTATTGACGTTTCTCAGTATTGACCATGTCTTTGTCAGCACCCGTGTCTTGGTGCTGGGCAACCTTGTTTACTTTCACTTCCTCCTTGCTGTCCACTAACTCCTGTTTCCTCTCAGCTGTGCAGTTGTGGTTCTCAAGATGATGGTAGCTGGTGCAAAAGATGCCACAGCTTCCACAGATGATGTTTTGCGCTTCCTCCTTGCTTTCAGAAACATCATTATTAATGTGGAAAGGTTTAACATTATCTACCTGGTCCTGATTGTGCACAAGCTGATGAGCAATCAAGTCTTGCTGATTGGCAAAACTTTCCCCACATGTACTACAGATCATCATTTCTCCTGACTCCTCATCTTTCAAATCTTCATGAGAGGATGTGGAAGAAGGACCTGAGCTTGTAGGAGTGCCGTGGGATTGTGTGTGCCCTCGGAGATGGCTCCTGAGAGCCCTCATGGTTGTGTAGCTGTTGCCACATATGGAGCACTGATAAAGGTCACCATCATCTTCCTCATCTGTGTTAACATCTTCTTGGCCACTGTTCAGCCGTTCACTTCCAACATTTTCTTGGAAATTTTGTTCAAAGTGACTTTGGTTGTGGCTAGCATTCAGACCCTGGAACTCAACATTAATTCCTGGATTTCCAACTTCACAATGGCCATTACTGACCTGGAAGTTTAAACTGTTGTGATAGTCACCATTAGTAGTGTTATGTTGCTGATGCAGCAATGGGCAGCTGTGAGACTTAATCCCTGCAATATCTGCAAATGTCTCACCACAGTCTGCACACATGTGCCTCTGCATCAGGTGTTCATTGTGAGGTAGATGCACAGTCATATCCTGGGAGAAGTCCTGATTAAACTGCTCGTGGTACAGTGCTCCATTCCTGCCATCAATTCCATTCTCCTGATCCATACAAAGCACAGGATGAGCACTGTTCTCTTCTTCATCCTGGGAGGAGAAGCAGCCCTGCTGGTTATCCAAAGTCAGAGGCTCTGAGGAGAGCCAGTCTCCCTCAGCACTGAGATTAAGAGAAGACGGCTGAGCTTTGTGGAGGCGAAGATGACTTTTGAGGGCTGCCAGGTGAGGGTAATTCTTCCTGCAGATGGAACACTGGTAAATCCCAACCTGATGTGACCTTTTGTGGTTGATGAGGCTCCCAGAGTGCCGGTAGCTTTTACCGCAGATCTGACACTTGAAGGGACGCTCATCAGAATCTACAGTTGAAGTCTCTTCAATTTCAGTTGCATTGCAATTATTTTGTGTGGGCATCAGGGTAGGACTGAGAGTGTTTGTGTCCATGATTGGGGGATCTCCCTGAGTGCTATTGGACGATGGGGTTTGATTACTGGAGCAGTCAGAGTACATGTGAGCGTTACTTCTAATCTTCTCTTGTGTATCAAAGTCTCCATGACTATCCATTGATGACACCGGAGGAATATTGTTTATAGGAGAAGCATAAAAGTTGGACTCGGGTGAAGCAATACTGTTTTCATATGATACACTGTGGCTCTCTGACAATGGATCTTGAAGACCAAATGACAGAGATGAAGAGTTATGCATTTGGATGTGTTCCTGGAACTCCTCATTGTTTGGGAAAAGTACCTGACATAAATGACAAAAGTTTACTGGAGCATCTTGGCTCTGAGGTGAAAACTGGTCAAGAAGTGTGCCTGCGTATGACCCACCTGTCGAAGTGAGGTCAGTCCCGCCTCTCGCCTTGTGTGTTCGCTGATGGCTGTAAAGGGCAGCCATGTTACTGAACAGTTTGAAACATACTGTGCACTCAAATGTTCCCACTTGGTGAGTCTTTTTATGGTTGGTCAGGCTTCGATGGTGTATGTATGACTTGTCACATAAATCACACCTGAATGGTCGATTTACTGCATCCTCTGAGGTCTCCGATTGCACATTATAAACAATCTCAGCCTTGTCCTCAGATGGGCCATTTACTGTGGAAATCCCAACGCTGGCCAAGTGCTCACTAAGATGATGTGGGTGATCGTTTTCAAGTTCATGTCTGTTTTTATATGAGGAATATTCCGTGTCCACCTTCCGATATGACTGCTCTTTTGCTTGTCTGGCAAAATGAACCCTCTGATGTGTAGCCAGCTGCGTTGCCAGGCGAAAAGCTTTTCCACATTCCGCACAGGAATACTTTTTAAGGGAAGTGTGGCTCCGGAGATGACTCTTCAGGGCCGAGGCATTAGAGTTTTCTTTTCCACATATATTACACTGAAAAGAACCTACTTCGTGAGTCTTTTTGTGGTTAGTTAGGCTACCAGCATGCCTATAACCACGTCCACATTCATCACATTTAAACTTGCGTTCTTCATCTCGCTCCTGATGGCACTCCATATGTTCGACTAGACTGGGCATACTGGGACACACCATACCACACTGTTTGCAAGGAAAACCTGTTGTCCTGCCATGGTCTTGCAAAGCCATCACAAGATATGGACTGAATTAAGTGCGCCAGACACAAAATAGGGCGGAAATGCATTAGATGCCTTTCTTATCCATATAAAAAGAAGGCAGTTCTTTATAATATGATGCAAGGACTCTCTATGGGATATAGCCACAGAAATACGTCAAAAACAGGTCCCATCAGATCACTGAAGTGAGTTGAATTTGAAGAATCCAGACAAATGGAGCTGTGGAGAACAGAAACAGTATTAGTTTTATAAAGCACGTCAAATTAGACACTTTAAGACGCCGCAGATAACTCATTACTATTAAACTCATACAAATGAAAAGTACAAACTTTTAGATAACTATATTACAGAGTTAATGTGTTACCACCAGTAGTCAACATGCATGAGGGAAGACGTAATAGCGGAGTGTAAACAGTCTGACAGGTTTTGCTATACCTCTGCACCAACAGGCTAACTGAACTAGCTATGTCAATACACCAGGAAAACAACGCCTGTCAATGCAAATGTACTGACACTGTAAATCCGCATCACTCTCCACATCGTGATCAAAAGCGGAGCGGATTATGCACGCTGTCGTTGAGTTTTTAGGAAGAGGAAGAAACTTAAATATGAATGGTTTCAAAATGCAGTGAGCTAACATTAGCGGAGTATGAGCTAGCATCATCTTGGCTAGCTAAACAAACATTGCACCTACTGCAGCAGAAAGCGTTTTTAAACGCGAAACTCCAAAGACCAGCGACTGCACGGAGTTTAATACCTGCGGGAGTAGTTATTCCAAGCGAGCCCCAAAGACCTATATTCACTCGCTTTTTAAAAAAAAAAAATCACTTTTGTGTAAAGGGCAGCCCCCCTTTTTCCAATTGTCTTTTTTCTTCCATCCCCATTTCCACATTGCGCTTGTTGCTAGGAAACAGGAAATGTGCAACAGAGAAATAATTCCCTCTCAAAAGTAACTCTACTAGCTCAAGATGCAGCAGCTAATCGATAAACCGGTAAAATAAATAAATAAATAAATATATATATATAATACGTTGTTTTTAAGCAAATAAAAAGCAGGAGGTGAATGTTCATTTTTAGTTCATTCTCAAAATATCTTACATAATCCGCCCCAAAACATACTGGTTAGCTAAAATAGCTAGATTTGCATTTAAGTTGAGCAGTTGGGCAAGCATCTTTCCATTTTAACACACAATTGTCGAACTTTATTGGGACTGTAGTATCTTACTAGAGGGCTTATTGTACATTTATGATGTGTGTTATAAAATAAAATTTTATAATTAAACGTATTACACGCTTGGCTTTCCAAGAGCTGTCGTCATCATGGTCCTAGAGCCGTCCGCTCTCGCACAGCCAGTCAACGGCAGCCACCGCGTCTCACAGTAAACGAAGCCCTTTACCGAACGGCGATTAATGCCCTGATTCCGGTAAGATCGACTTTTGTTTTTCTAATACACGCAAGCAACTAACTTAGCTAAATACATGCTGTACATGTACAGTAATGATGATGATGGCACTGTGGAGTGAATCGGTACAGCCGGTCCTAAAGCCAGCCATTTTGAGTTAGTGAAAATATCTAGCAAGCTAAAGCTAGCGGAGGGGTATACGTACATAACACGCCCGGGCTGCTCGTAGTACCATCACCCTAAGCTGTGATCTCTGGTGTTTTTCTCTGGTCGTGCACATGCCACTTGTTCATCTTCATGCACTATGATCTCTGACATTACCTCGCCAACTTCCTTTGGCATTAAAGCGGCTAGCTTATTGTCCCTGAGGTCCTAATGCCAGCCATTTTGTTATTAACTGCACACCCACATATTTCTTTTATTATCTGACTGATTATTTCTTATCCCTCAAAACCCACTTTCATTAAAGTTGTACTCTTCAAATCCATAAAAGTCATAGGACTTAACACCCTCATGTCTGTGGAAGAATTTTTATCCCAAGCTGCCAATGGTGTGTTTTTATTTTTTACATTGTTATTAAACGGTACATTTTTTTGCCATCATCTTTTTTTGTAGATGTAAAGATGGCCTCTGCTCAGCCTGCAAGTCCACCTCTTGCTGCGGAGTACACCCCTCCTGTGCAGGATGAAGAGGGCCAAGAGGAAGAGGTGGAGAGGGATCAGCCTGCAAAAAAACGTGGCAGAGGCAGGCCTCCGAAAGCCAAACCCCTTTTCAAATGCACTGCCTGCACAGAGGCCTTTAAGAGTCTGTCAGCTCTGCAGAGCCACAAGCAGTCGGCACATGTGAAGGAACGGCAGCAGCACCCATGTCCCGAGTGTGCCAAAACATTCTCGAGCAAGGCTCAGCTCTCAAAGCACGAGCGCACTCACTCAGCCCAGCGCCCCTTCCAGTGTCCCAGCTGTCACAAAGCTTACAAGACGCCCACAGAGCTGCGTAACCACAGCCGCTCTCACACTGGGGAGAAACCTTTTGTATGCACAGAATGTGGCAAGGCCTTCATGCAGGCGATATGCCTCAGGATCCATATGACACAGCACAGTGGAGAGCGCCCGTACTCCTGCCGTCAGTGCTCTAAGAGCTACCCAACCCTGTCCAAACTGAAGGTGCACATGCGCTCTCACACGGGAGAGAAGCCATACTTGTGTGCCGAGTGTGGGAAGAGCTTTGCTGACCCCTCAGTGTTCCGAAAGCACAGAAGGAACCACCAGGGCCATCGACCGTATGCTTGTGACGAATGCGGCAAAACATACACTGAGCTGAAGGACCTCAAAAACCACGAGCGTTCCCACACTGGGGAAAAACCCTACCTGTGTTCGGACTGCGGCAAGGCCTTCTCCCGCTCCTCCTCCCTGGCCTGCCATCAGCGCATCCACTCGCAGAATAAACCCTATAAGTGCGAGCAATGCACTAAAGGCTTCACCCAGCTTTCTTCCTATCAGTCCCATCTCCGCACTCACTCTGGTGAGAAGCCGTTCCTCTGCCCGCAGTGCGGCAAGATGTTTTCAGACCCCTCCAGCTTCCGTCGGCACCAGCGAGCCCACATGGGATTCAAGCCCTACCCCTGCGATAAATGCTCCAAGAGGTTCCGGCAGCCGGCCGACCTGGCCGTACACGAGCGCGTTCACTCTGGAGAGCGCCCGTACAAATGCCAGAGCTGCGACAAGGCCTTCGTAGCTTCCTGGGATCTGCGGCGCCACATGCTCGTCCACACAGGTCTGAAGCCATTTATGTGCACAGAGTGCGACAAGTCATTTGCTGAGCGCTCCAGCCTCAACAAGCACCGGCGTGTGCACTCTGGAGAGAGGCCTTTCAAATGCGAGGAGTGTTTGAAGTCATTTGTGGTGTCCTCAAGCCTGCGCAAACACGAAAGAACTCACCTCGCTGAGCAGTCTGAGCAACAGCAGCAGCAGCAGGAGACAGAGGCTGGGTCACCCTCAGGCTTCACTGCCCACACAACTCTCCCTCAGTTCTCTTGTACTCACTGTGATGCTACATTTGGTACCTGGGAAGAAGTTCAGACCCATGAAAACCTTCACCCCATTGACTCTACCCAGTCCGTTGCCAAAATCGTGTCGCTGGGCTCGCACATCTGTAAAACCTGCCACGAGGAGTTTGCACAGCTTGCAGACTTGCAGGAGCACGAAAAGCAGCATCCCAAGCCGAGGCCGCACGTCTGCGACAGCTGCGGCAAGGGTTTCCTCAACAAATCGGGACTGCGCAAGCACCAGAAGATCCACTCCAACAGCAAACCCCACAGCTGTCCCCACTGCGGCAAAGCCTTCCTGTTCGCCGCGTACCTTCGCAAGCACTTACGGACTCACGCGGACGCCGCGCCGGTTGCCACGCAGCTCGCCGACATAAACATCATTCACACAGACCCCCTGCCTTCTCCTCCGACCCCCAGTGAGGTTTCTCCCTCGTCGGTCGAGCCCGGCACCATGTCACTGACTGTCCCGACCGTGACTGTCCCCGTCACCGCTTTCCAGTCTCTTCGAGAGTACTTAGTCAAAGAAGAGGGGATTTAAGCTTCTCTGTCATTTTAATTCCACACATATTTACCCCGTGGCCTTAAAGCTTTTTTTTAGATGGGTCTGACTTTTCAAAATAACTTCCTTAAGAAACATCAAACGCATTATCCTTATGTAAACGGTCGACATTTGGTCTTTGTTTTGTATTGCTGCAGTATTTTTAAAAACAGTTATGTGTATTATATGTTAATGTATTAAAATATACAGTATACTGTACTATAAGTACCTTACTATAAAATTGTCGTATCTGTTGTAATCTCGTCATAAAAATCCACCATAAAGAAAACAAACGAAACCAACAATTAAATCCTTGGCTTTATGGCCGACATGTTTTTATAAAACATTTTTAAATGTTTTTTTGAATCTCTTTTGTCTGAACAATTTGTAACTGCTTCACTGTGTCGCTAAAACAACTTGTCAAGCTGCAAAAGGTCGCTGGCATTCAGAAATGCCAAGAGGAATCACATTTTTATGCCAATAAAAACGTGTGTGCAACAATCAGTAATAATCGGAGATTCACTGTGTTGTGGTCCTGTTTTTTTTGGGGTTTTTTTTTTGTGAGTCCGTGTAGTGTGTTTCTGTTACTGTTGAGGATGAAGATGTACAGAAAAAACTGAGACCGTGTCAGCAGATCGTTTGGTGAGAAACTAACACATATATTGATGACCGTGACGTTTCTTGAACCCATAAAAGATTGAAGGCAAAGCCACAGTGATTGTGTTCTATTAGTGCGCTGTGACCCTGCAAGGTAATATCTCTTGTCTGCTTTACTTGACTCCTATTATACACTAAGATGCTCAGACACAAACAGAGCTGTATGCATTTGCTGTGACATTTGTAAATGTGTATAAAATTAGTGTTTTTTTAAAAAAAAGTTTGATGCACTATAATCTGTGTCCAGTTGTAGCAGTTTGTTGGTTTTGTCTGTGTTTGCACATTTGAAGATGGAAAACCCAACTTTGGAGATGAGATCTACAACTTAACTACCATAATTTAGCACAAAAGCAAAATGATCTCTCATCATGACCTAATATGTCACCTAATTGTTTATATGTTTCACCAGCTTCCTCTTTTATATTATCAGGAAAAGTGACAATGGCAGCAATAGTAACGGGCCTCATCCCAATCCTGAGAACAGCAGTGGATACCACCGCCACCTACAAGTGCCGCTCCCTGTGGTTCGGCCTGCTGTGTGTCCGACTTGTGGTCCTCTTCTTTGCTGAGCTGCCCTTCAGCAAACTGGATGCTGACTTCACCTGCAATAGCAGCACCCCCGATGTCTGCACGAAATTCTGTTTTAATGAACGATTCGACAAGCCCATGATAGTGGCTTGGAACTTCATGTTTGTCGTGGTTGTCATCTCTGTCCTGCTCATGGAGTTGTTCACCTCCCACCTCCGCACAATGGCGCAGAAGAGGAGCTTCAGGATGAAGGCGGATGAGAAGCCGGAGACTCAGGGGGCAGAGGAAGCTCAGACGGTGGTAGGCAGGGGCAAGATGATCATAGATCTCCACAAAGACAGGAGCACCGTAGGCTTCTACCTGCTCAGCATAGCTCTGCGGATTCTGGTTGAAGCCTGCTTTTTATTTTTGCTGCTTTATTGGAACCTGCACGCACTCCGTGATGAACACACGTGTACAAAAGAAGGCTGCAAATATGTTTGCATTTTGAGGGCTGCCCCGGAGAAGCGCATGTCTATTTATGCTTTAGCTTCTATCTCAGGCATAATCATTGCTTGCTCAGTTTTGTTTTGCGTTTACTCTATTGTCCACTACCTCTGCAACGCTTAAATATCAGACTCCATGTACATATTCCGTGGGTATGAAATGTGCATACATACATATCCTGTTAATTTTGTGTCTTATATTTCTATAAACAGAGCTTTATGGTTATAATTAGGAATATTATACATGTATAGTACTACTGAAATAAAAATCTCAAAAACTGCTTTGTTGCATTTCGTTATGTTAACTTTTGTTTTAGAGTTGTTTAAAAAAAAAGTGCTATGAGATCTATTTTGCTGACATAAAGGATCTGGGTGTTGGCTTCATGGTGGTGTTTCTGAATCATGTTTTTAACTTGGTCAGTGCACAAACTCAGGCGCAAGCGACACTGTCAAACACAAAAGCAGTTCTAACTGTAAAACTGCATCAGTAGTTTTCTTGTGTAACATTAAAAAAAAAAATCAAGCATGAGAAATGAGGTGCGAGATATACTGTAATGCATTATTTACAATGTGAAATATTTGAGGGATATCCATCCAGCCAAATAATCAAAGTCTAAGTGCAGCATTTGGCCTCGGCATTCAGACTCGAGTTGCTTTCCAACGAGGTGAAAGGGGAAGGAGGACAGTTGGCTGGGCTTGTGTTTATTCTGAGATAGATTTCTTGTTTCTCTGCTTCATGGTGTAGAACAGCGCTGCAGCAGCGTCTGTGATAGACTGGCGGGAAGAGAAGAAAGGAGGATTTATAGAAAAAGGAATCTGGACAGCATAGTAAGTATTCTAATGAGAAGCAGTATAAGAGAATGAATTACCTGTGAGTCTGAGCTGACGGTGTTTTTCTGGGGAGGGGAAAGGAATTAAGTGTAAAAGAAGTCTAATGTGATGCATTCAATCTAATAATAAAAACACAGTAAAAGCTCACCTGTGTGTAGTTGGTGTAAATCGGCTCCATGGTTTTAACCCATTCGTTGTATGTTTGTTCTGCCTCTGCACTGTGGTTATGCTTTCTGAAAACAGCCAAACATTATGCATAAATCATTATCTATTAATCACAACACATTATCTTGATATTACCAAGATAAGGAATATAAAACATACAGTTCTGTGCAAAAGCCTTGACCCACTCTTCATTTCTTCATAGTGGTCTTGAGCAATAGGTTCTGGATTTCTTGATGCCTTTGGACATTGGCTGCTTTTCCTTCTGTCATTTATTTATTCATTTATTTTTAGAAATGACCTGACACAGGACCTGAGAGATGCATCTGACCCTTCAGTTGATGCATCTGCTGTTCACTGAAGCCTCATCAGAAATGGCCTCAGTGGAAAGGTGGCTATGAAGAAGCCATTCTTAAGGAAGAGAAACAGGAGAAAAAGGCTGATGTCTGCCAAATTACACAAGAACTGCACTGAACAGGTTTTATGGAGCGATGAGCCCATAAATGTTACATTTTTAGGTTGAATTCTCAAAATATATGGATGCGGTCAGGCGAGAGGAATAGCAGTGATTTTCTAACGCCATCTGTAAAACACAATGGCGGCTCTGTCAAAGTTTGGGGTTGCATTTCAGGCAGTGGTGTTGGAGATTTTGTCAAAATTGCTGGAAATATGAATGCAAAATATACCAGCCAGATTTTGTTTCACCATGCATTACAATCTGGAAAGCATCTGATTGGCAGTGGCTTTATTTTTCAGTATGACAATGATCCCAAGCACAGAGTGGAACACCATCAGTCATGAATTGGCCTCCCCAGAGCCCCAACATGAACATTATTGAACCAGTGTGGGCAGAAAACAGAACAAAAGACAGCCAACATCCAAAGAAGAACTTTGAGTGTTCTTCAAGAACCCTGGAGAACAATTCCTGAGGACTGCTTAAAAGAAATGACAAGAAAGCTCAACTACGAGACTTCAGGCTGTGTTTAAGAATAAAGGTTTCCACACCAAATATTGACCTTTGTTGTGGAAACTTTAACAATAACCTGCAACGCACACAGTGAGCGTTTTGAAGTGATTTAAGCAGATGGAGCCTCAATATCTGTTACAGTGTGAGACCATAAGGCCCATTTGTAGCACACATGCATACAACTAAGTGAGAAAGTGATATTACTATTACTAATGTGATATGACTAAATATGTGATCCAACCTTGTTAAAATTGTACAAACTGTTTTTGCTTGATAAACTATATTTCCATCAAATAAAGCATTTTTGGTGACTCAAGACTTTTGCACAGCACTCTAAATAAAGTCAACATGAGAACTTTTAATACAATTTAAAAGGAAAAAGTGAAAAACCAAGCTGCAGGGTAACCTTTGAATCAGAAAGTCTGGGATAATAATGGTCTTAAAAGCACAGGAAGCGCCTGAGCTTCTGCTTCTCAACGCAGTCACATTTCTCATCTAAATACCACATAATGCCAAATGTGCTTAAACTCATTTTTTCACCTTCTTATTTTGATACTTGTGTGTCATTTTGTCTGTCGATTCAGCCTTATTAAATGTCAGAATTCAGCATAAAACGATGGCCTTCAGTCAGAGGTCCCTGCTGCTACTCACATCGCTCTCTCAATAAGCTGCTTCTGCATGTCTCCTTCCCTCCTGGCGTAGAGCAAGCGACCTCTGACAGCCAGAGCGGCGCTGGCTTGTGACGAGTTGAGCTGAATGATGGCCAGACACAGTGAGGACAGCACCGCCGAGCTGGGGAGGGGGCACAATGTGTTCACAAGAGTGCTTCTCAACATTTACTGCATCGGCATTGCCATTATGTTAATGTGGAAAAACACACAGGCCCCTCTCTGCATCTGCTCAGACGATGAATTGCATGACCTTCACTGAGCGTGTGAAGACTGGGCTGAGCGCTTCATTTACTGTGTAACTAAATGTTAGGATGGATGAGGCATTATTTCTGCACGAAAGCTCTGGTATCTCAGCAACAGTCAGTCTCCTTGGATTATCGAAACCTGCTTTGCCTAAAGGTTCACTGAAATTGCCATAAAATAATACATCTAATCACTTGCTGTCCTGAGGGGCAGAACGCCTCGCTGATTAAAGATGTCAGAAGATAATGGCTTGTTTAAGCCATCCATAGACATGCAAATATCTCTGTGTAGTAAAGCTGCAAGTGGAGGAGAATTCAAAACTAAAAGGTAAATACAGCATTGTAATTAAAGATTTGGCATTATCACCCGTCATCAGTAACTTCCCGGTCTGCAGTTATCAGTCTGAGCATGGTCCGCCCATTCCTCTGCCTGTACTTGATCTGCAGCTGGATGGATACACGGCTATTAGGAGATGGTGGCGGCACTATAAAGAAAAAAAAAAGGAGTGATTTCACAGTTTAAAAACAAAACAAAACGAGCTGTATGAATGTTTTAACTCAAGAGGTATGAGTAAAATCTGCAATTACCCCTGCGTGTGAATCTGCACCACACTGTTTCCTGCGTGTCATTCCCCTGACTCTCTCTCCCTGCCCTCCCGGCTGAGACTATCTGTGGTGGGTAAATGAGTTAAATGTTGCTCTGGCCTGCATGATCAGTCCCTGGTCAGTTTGGATCAAATGAACCATTTTTCGCCCATCTGATGCACATATCTCAGAATTCAGGCTAAATCCCCAAAGGCAAGTGTTCAGTGATCCCGAGTTGAATTTGGCCTGTAAGTGAATCTGTTTATGTTGAATAAATTCAGATGGTAATTTACCAACACTAGATGGAAGAGCCTTTTACCAATGTGTTTTGCCACAGGGATTTCGTCTCTATAAAATACAGCTGGACACACTAAAGAAAATGCACAGCCATGGTGGGATCAGAGTAGAAGTCAGGGAACCATGACTTAATTTACTGAAATCTTTTTTTTCCTCTGCTGTATTTTTTCCCTGTTTCTTAGTTGTTATTGTCTTGTTTTTCCAAGTCCCAGTTATCAGTGTAACATGTCTGGGTCCACTTTGTTATGTTTGCTTTGTTAGTTTATGTTCAGATGCTGTGACTCTGGCTGCGTCTCACTTTGCAGTGTTGCAATGATCTCAAACTGAAATTTCTGTTTTTCATGGTTGGCAACAACAGAAATCACCACATGTCGCACTTTCCTCAAAGATCTGGCAACACGCGGCAGCTGCGATATTATTGAGAAATTCAGCACAACTGCAGCTGAAACTGAGAAAATAAACGAGCCAGTGGCATCAGTCTATAAGAGTGTTTATTTTCCTCACCTTCTGAGACCTTTTCATTTGCTCTAAACTGGAAGGTGATGTCTGTATCTGGGTCCACATTCCCCACCTGTCTGGTCCCTTTGTGTCCTGCCTCCTTCTCTCCCTTCATGCACCTTTACCCAAGGAGAACATGACTCAGTGCTTAGGGTCATTTAAATCTCTAGAGGACCAATTCAATGAGCTCATTTTAAGTAATTATGTGCAGTGCAGCTCTCACATTGATTTTGGCAGCAGTATAATTACAGTACAGTGTGTGGCAATGGTCCGGTTTTGAATGATCTGCTCAAACTCTGGATGCAGCCTGCTGGGACTGGCTATTACCACCTAGACTCAAAGGGAAAGCACAGATTGACACCATGAGATTGTGCATGATTTGATGAGTCATATGCTTCGCCATGGTTACAGTGCGCCTTACCTTTCCTCTAGTACGATCAGCAAGTTTCCCCAGCTCATCCAGTCTACAGTCTGTTCCCTCTATGGACAGCACAGACACTGTGACGCTAAAAAAAGAAGAAATCTGAGGATCATCACAGTGCATCGAGACCTTTCATTGGGTAATATGAGTACTAGTGCTTTTAATAGAGACTTAAATACACAACTGCCTCAACAAGTTCATTCACTGTCTCTTTTTACGTTAGCGTAGAGCAGCGGTGTCAAACATAGGGCTCGTGGAGCCAGAACAGGCCCACCAAAGACTCCACTCTGGCCCACTGGATGAAGGGGGACTTTTCACTGTATTCAAGTTTTACAGCAGTATGTGATAAACTGTTAAATGACAGAAAATTTCCTGTTTTTACATGATCTATTATTTAAATTCATGTTTTTTCAGTGGGTCCAGAGTAAAGATATTTTCTGTAATTTTACA